CAGCGAGGGGTGGGGAGCAGGTGGCCGGGAGCGGGGAGCAGGGAGCCCCACCCAGACGTGGGAGCAGGGCAGTGGCCACCGGAGCGGCCGTTGGGACGGAGGGGTGGACGGTCCGAGGCCTTCCGGGTGGAGGCACTTACAGTGCCCGGATCGCGCGGGCCTCAGTCACCCTCGCTGAGCCGGGCGCCCCGCACTGGGAGGGGAGGCACAGCTTAAGTGGGGTGGAGTCGGACACTGAGGAGGGTACCACTTCCGCCCTCAAGGGCTGGACCCCAAAGACACTGGCCAGGGTTAGGTTGGTGGCACATAAAGTGTACTTTGTTGACTAGAAGATGGGGCGGCCGGGGCAGGGAATGGGAGGAGGACGGCCGGCAGGGAGGCTGGGGAAGGGGGGATGGCAAAGGCCTGGTGGCTTGGCCCTGGGCTGGGGGTTAACGCCCCCCAAACGGAAGCTTTAATATCAAGCAGGTCCCAGAAAGGAAAGGGGAAGGTTTAAAAGAGAAACCAGGGAACATGGCAGGGGTACAGGGTGGGTGGGGGGTAATAATAGGGAAGGAAGGAGGGAGGCAGGGTTCAGGCTCACAAGGAAAAGGCTAATGGGAAGGGGCAGGGTGGGAGGAGTAAGAAGGAGACAGACATGGGGAATGAAGGGAGAGAAGGGAGGAGAGAGGGAGGGAGAGGGGCCCGCAGGAGGTTCAAAGGGAGGAAGGGAAAGAAAGCGGGAAAGAGAAGGATGCTAAAATGGGGTGATGCCAGCAAAATAGTTAAATAAAAAGAAACAGAATGTGAGAGTGAGGGGAGTTTAAAAGGAGGAGTTAGTAAGAAAATTAAGGACAGGGAGATTTTTAAAAAATGTAGTAGGACATCCCCTGAGGGCTCCCGGACTGTGAAAGGGTGCAGGCTTGGCTGAGGCCCCCTCCCCCCTAGCACAAATTCCGTGCATGGGCCTCTAGTTTTAGATATGATAATGGCATTGTAGTTGATAAGAGTTTAACCTAGGTATGTATTTAGGAATTCATCATGATATGATGTCTGAGAGATTTAGATTTGCTTTAAAATAATCCAGTTTATAGAGCAGCAGGTGAAGTGGGTGGAATACAGATGAAACAATTTGGACATGGGTTGAGTAACTGAAGTCAGGGCTTTTAGAATTACATACTAAATAGTATAAGATAAACATTAAAAAATTCCACTAGGCTTTAACTCAATCAAGGGAGGTTCTAGCCCCAGTTTCTGCACTACAAGATCTTAAATCAAGTTGCTCTCCTCCTGTTAGGACTCTGTTTCTTTATCTCCAAGACCAAGACTAGACTAGATTAGCATTTTATAAAGCTTTTACCTGACCCCCATCCTGACAAAACAAAAAAAGAGTTCCATGATTAACTGTTTCACAGATACTGGTTAAGCAGGTCCCAAGGCTGGAGAGGTGGAGAGACAGTATCTTCTGACTGTCTGGCTGCTGAAGCCTTTTCTGAATGAAAATACAAACTTGGGACCCTGGCCAGTGTTTCACAGTGGTTAGAGCATTGGCCCATGCACTGAAGGGTCACAGGTTCGATTTTCAGTCAAGGGCACGTACTTGGGTTACAAGTTTGATCCGTGGCCCTGGTAGGGCATGTGTGGGAGGAAACAAATTAATGTGTCTCTCTCGCCCAGGCCGGTATGGATCAGTAAATAGAGCATCAACCTGCAGACCAAAGGGTCCCGGGTTCGATTCTGGTCAAGGGCACATGCCTGGGCTGAGACTCGATCCCCAGTAGGGGGCATGCAGGAGGCAGCCGATCAATGATTCTCTCTCATTATTGATGTTTCTATTTCTCTCTTCCTCTCCCTTCCTCTCTGAAATCAATAAAAAATATATTTTAAAAAAATGTGTCTCTCTCTCTCACATTGATATTTCTCTCTCTCTCTCTCTTCCTCCCTCCCTTCCACTATCTCTAAAAATCAATGGAAAAAATATCCTCAGCTGAGGATTAACAAAAAAAAAGAAAACACAAATTTGGGAAAGACTGATCTGGAGGGTTCTTGAGGCCCCTTCAGCTCTAATAAGCTATGATTCTACAGTGAGGTCTAACTGCACAGGCAGAAAGAGGATGAGGGAAGTTGAAGAGGATGAGGGTCTTACATTTCAGATTTAAAAAGGCTTTGAATACCAAATTAAGGACTGCAGACTTCATTATGTAAAGTAAATAGTTGAGAGGAGCAGCATGTTCCGAGTTGAACGGTATAAGCGTGCTCCAGGGCAAACTGGAATCTGGGATGAGAGAACGGAAGTGAAGCTGTTACTGCCACAGTAAGGTACAAAGGGCCAAGACCTTGCTCTGGGATGGCAGACTCGGGGACTGGAAAGAAAATGACACACAAGATCAAGATTTGAGGAAGAGGCCAAGAGACTTACAAGCTACAATGGCAAATGATTAGGAGTCACTCAAGAACGGAGAATTCAAGTAGGAAAACTCTGCAGGAAGACAAAAGTCAGATTGCATGGGAACAAAAAAAACAGTAAAAAAATCTGTTGAGAGCTAACTGAGAAGTACAGCAAATCTGAGACTTCAGTACTAGAATTTGAAAAGCTTGAAAGCTTTGGAGCATCAATAGCCAAGAAGTAAATTCAGATTCTCTCCATTAGGTAAAGGAAAATTTTATTGCATAACCTGATACTGAGGCATGGGGCTGAACCTAACTGAACTATCAACAAATAAAATTAAAATTTAGCAAGTACTGTATTAAGTGCTTTACACATATTACCTCACTTATTCCTAATGCCACTGCCATAAACTGCTCTTATTACTCCATTTTTCAGATAAGAAACTGAGCCTCCAAGAGGCTGGTTTGTCCAAGGTCAAATAATTACATTAGGTGATGTGAACAACACTCAAATCCAGTGAGCCTCCAAAGCCCAGGTCTGGATTGACATGCTGTGAGTTCTTCAGTGTTCTCTGCACCTATATACGATGACCTTCTATAATCATTCCTGCTTAAGAAACACCCAACATCCCCTAGGAGGGTCACAGGATATCTCAAATTCAGTTCAACTCACCCAGCATGTAAGCACTTGCTCTATGTCATTAACTTGTAACCCTTAGTTCAGAAAACAGTACAAGCCCAGCCCCTGACTCTAAGGAATTAGCTATCTGTTAGAGCCACGAGACAAACACATACAAAGCAGTATGAACAATAGAAAAGTAAATGATTATGTTCAAAATGAGAGATGCAAGTAAACAACACCACCCAGATCTCAGTTGCTGAGCGGAACAAAGGTCACTGCAGACTGAGGAAGGCTTTCTGAAGGAGGCAGCACAGGGGCTGGAGCTCAGAGGCTGGGAAGGACTGGAGGCAGTTTGACAGGATGGAGTGGAGTAGGGAGCAGAGACGAGAAAAAAGACAGGAAAGAATGAAGGCAGGAACACCAGACAGAGGTCTCCAGAAAATCAGTGTCCATAACAGTTACTGTGTAAACAGGTCTCCACCTGCAGACAAACCCATTTCCACGGGTGTAAGACTTGACAATGACAGCAAAGATTGCTGGTTCTGCACTCTGGGCACCTGTCCTACAGAAATGCTCACATAGGGTGAGCACACAAATGACACAAATGTTCACTGGCATTGTTTCTAACAACCCAAAGTCCAGCAATAGGAAATGGATTAACTAAAAAATGAGACTTTTAGTCCAAGGTATTACAGTTATCAGAAGACTGCAGTTGATGTGGAGATATCTCCATGATAGGTATGAAAAAAATGCAAGCTGCATAGCTATTCTATGGTTTGCTACCATCACTGCATGTAAGTTTGTCAGTGTATGTAAAAATACAAAAGGACATACACCAAAATTATATTGTGATTATTTCTAGAATAATCTAGAATTGACAAGAGTGGGATGACAGTAAAAGGGAATTTTCACTTTTGACTCTCAGTAGCTCTGCACTGTTTTAAGTTTGCAATGAAAATTTAGTCCTGTGTTTAAAGACTGCAAGTTCCCATCCAGCCTTGTGGTTCACATGCCTTTAACCTTACATGAGGATATTGGGGGGGGGAAAGGGAGAAATCTGTAATACTTTCAACATTTATAAAGATAAATTTTTTTAAAAATGCAAGAATCACACAAAGGATCATAAAATCTCACAGTTAAAAACCTCAGTGATGTTCTGATTCAAGCCTCCAGAACTTCTGGAGCACAAGACAGGCAAAGGAAAAGGATCTGCACTAAGATATGGAAAGACACCCAACAGGAACAAATTTAAGCCCCCAACTTTTAGTGCACCATTTGGCTGAATCCTGGGAAGATCAGGTTATTCGTGATTTTTAAACTGTGCAAACAAAGAATGCTATTTTACTTTCAACCTTGTCAACATTTATTGATTCTTTCAGACTGGGCACAAATGTTGCCTCTCTTTAAATAAAGTTAACTTTAAATGACCAAATTAATTCTAGCAAATTTTTAGACAGTACATAGGCAAAAATAAACAATCAAAACAACCTGCAGTCCTACCACCTAGATATAGCCACAGTTAACATTCACTTCCTTCCTTTCATCCTTCCGCCCTTCCTTTACAAAAAATACCACTGTGGTAGAAAGTTTTGTAAACTACTACTTTAAACAGTATATTGTGAAAGGCTTTCCATGTCATTACATTTTCCTCAAGAACATCTTTTTAAATTACTACATAATCTGAAAAACAAGAACAACCTTTACTGAGGTACTACGCTAAGTATTTTATTTACAAGATCTCAATCTTCAAAGCAAGCCTCTTCCCCATCCCCCCCCCCACCCCCCCCCCATACACACCAAAAAAAAAGTCTTAGCTTGGAGTGGGGGGAAATGTTGGTTGGGGTTGGGATTCACACCCAGGTCCATCTAACTCAGAACTGTGAATTCCTGACCACCATAATGTCCCCTGGTAAAAACAGACCACGACTCCTTATACCAATCTCCAGTTGCCAGTCAATTTAATGGTTCCTAATTTCTCTCTAGCATACACAGTGCTACAGTGGACATCCCTGCAGCCTCCCCTTTCTGACCTCCTCCCTCCGGGCCAGAAACTTCCTAACTGGCCTAGGCCTAGGCAAACTCTGCTTCTCAAACCACCTGCACCTTTTTGTTTTCAATCTATCGCAGATCAATATTTTTGTAAAATACAATGAAAATTAATTCTTAGAAATAGGAAATGAGCCCTTGCCGGTTTGGCTAAGTGGTTAGAGCATCAGGCCTTGGATAGTAGGGTCTCGGGTTCTGGGCACGTACGTGGGCTTCGGTTCGATCCCCGGCCCTGGTCAGGCGAGTTGGGGAGGCAACCAATCGATGTGTCTCTCACATCGATGTTTCTCTCTCTCTCTCTCTGTCTCTCCCTGCCCCCAACCTTTCCCTCCCTCCTACTCTAAGAGGAGGACATAGAAACCCACACCTAAAACCTATATGATCATGTTGACCAAAGTACCCCAATAAATTTAACTTAAAAAAAAAAAGAATCAATGGAAAAAATATCCTCTGGTAAGGGTAAAGAAAGAGAGAGAAAAAGAAAGAAAGAAAACATACAAGCCCCATATGGTTAAAAGAATAAAGTTTGTTACATATATTTTACCACATTTAAAAGAAAAACACCAAGCACCATTTTTAAAAACTGTATTAGAAATAAGAGACTTTGTCAAATTGCTTTAAAAGTTTCTAAATGCTTACTCTCAAAAGTTTCTAAATGTTTACTGTGTAGAGGACTAGATAACATTTTGGGGGCTGAAGCTGGGATGCAGAGTACACTCTGAACTGCAACTCTATTATACTCTACCAGGGTTATCTATCGACCTGGCTTCCCTCCCGCGTCTGTGATTCCCGCCCATGTCTGGTTTGCTACTGAATGCTCTGGCTCAGTGCCCAGAGCACGCTTGTCTACTCTGTGGATTGAAGGAATGTTCAAGTAATGTCTCTGACCTCAGCTGCTGACAGAAGCTACTCACCATTTGGAACCAGAAGGAAGCTTTTCACAATGCTTCTGAGGGGGCCAAGACTGATCTGATTGATGGTGGCAAATTCAGAGAGTTGAGCCAGAAACCTTTCCACCTGCAGAAAGGGAACAGCACAAACGAGGCTGTCACTTTCTAAGCATCTCAGGACTGTAGACCCACATCCAGGAACTCTCCTTATCACAAAATACTTTACCTCTTTTGGCTCAGTTAGGAAGTGAAAAAGCACTTCTGTCAGGGCTGAGAACTGCTGTGAAAAGAATAACACAGAACATCAGTAAAATTCTACCCCTGGTCAGTGTTCCCACATTCCATCCAATCATAGACCATTAAGAGAGAAAGAATAACACACAGGTTTTGATCATCTTAGAGTTAAAAAATATTTACAATATCCACCACCAGTGTCAATATATCTGTGTCCCTATATTGTCTGAAAAACTTGTATATTTTATTGGGATACTTGGGAGATATATATTGAGAGAGTGTGTGTGTGCACAGATGCACACATACATCTCAAGGGTCCAAATATACGAAAGAACGAACACTCCCCACTTTTTTTCCCCCCCCCCCCCCCCCACACACACACAGCCTAAAAGGAAAGTTCACTGGAACATTAATAGCAGTTACTTCTGTTTGTTTGTTTATACTTACACATATTTATTATTCAAACATAAGCCAATCCAAATATATAAATTGTCCCCCCCCAAAATGATAATATACCCTATAAACTTTTTCTGTACCTTTTCAAAAGTAGTTACTTTTGTGTGGTGAGATTTGGAGTAATTTTTATTTTCTTCTGTTTTGTCTACCCATATTTCTGGGGGCTTCCCCCATAGAAACATCGTGTGTGTGTGTGTGTGTGTGTGTGTGTGTGTGTGTGTGTGTAAAATATAGATATATTATTTGTAATATATATAATAAAACAGTAAAGTTTAACACTTTATTTTACATTGTCTTAGACCAGTCTCTTATTATTTTGTGCATGTGAATCTTCTCTTTATTGCTATTTATTTTTAAGGATTGAATGTTTGTGTCCCACAAAATTCATATGTTGAATTTATTACTGTATTTGGAGATAGAGCCTGTGAGGAGGTAAAGAAGGTTAAAGGGGGTAATAAAGATAGGGCCCTAAATTCCTTGGAAGAGGAAGAGACACCAGAGCTCTCTCTCTATAAGACACATGAGAAGGCAGCCATCTGCAAGTCAGGGAGAGAGCTCTCACCAGGAACTAAATCTGTTCGCACCTTGATCTTCGATTTAACATCCCCCAGAACTGTGAGAAATAAATTTCTGTTGTTAAAGCCACCCAGTCTGTGGTATTTTGTTATAGCAGCCCAAGCAGACTGACACATTTACCATTACTTTAACATGATCTCTCCCAATGGACAGTGTGTGCACAGTGTGGAAAAGAGTTGAAAAGACCCAGATGTGAATCAGTGTTTTGCTACTTACCCCACCATGTGCTTCTGGGCAAGTCACTTAGCCTTTCTGTGTCTCAGTCCCCACAGGGAATACAAAGGTAATAATACTTAGCTTCCAGAACATACTAAAGGTGGCATATGCAAAGCCTCCAGCACAGTGCCAAGCTAGAGGCTAAACAAATGGTAGCGATTATCATAGCCATAATTATAGTCACTATACTATTTGATCTACCTTCCTGAAGCAATACAACTCAAACAAAATTATATGCAGAGACTTCAGCTCGAAGTCCCTAAAGCTGTACATGTAATATGATTATCAAATGCACCTACCCCTTTTGCTATGAGCCACTAAATTCTACACAAACTCCTGGCATAGCTCTGTATTATTTTATTCTAAAATGTATTCTGTTTAAAAACTAGTCTTTGAGGCCCTGGCCAGGTAGCTAAGTAAGTTAAAGCATTGTCCCAATATACCAATGTTCTGGGGTTGACACCCAGTCAGAATGCACAAATAAGTGGAACAACAAATCAATGTTTTTCTCTCTCTTTCCCTTTCTCTCTAAAATTAATCAAAACCAAAACAAAACAAAAAACCACACCACACTAGTCTTTTGAAAATATAAGACCAATACATGTGCAAGGTTTTGAAAAGACCCAACTAGTATAAAAGATTATAAACATTTCTCTTTCTCCCTGCCCACACCTCTGTCCCACTCCCAAGTAGTTACTGCTAACACCTCTGTGGCTTTCCCATAATTTTATTTTCATTTAATTTATTTTAAATACAAACCGACTCCCAGCACCTTGCCTTTTTTCACTCAATTTTATCATAGAAATCAATCATGTCAGCAGATATAAATGTACCCAACTCTTTTAACAACTGCATGGCATTCAACTGTATAGCTAGCATAATTTAGCTTCCTAAAGATGAACATTATTGTGTGGGTCTTGTTGGTATTAAACAACTAGAAGCCTGGTGCATGAAATTCGTGCACTGGATGGGGGGGAGGGTGGGTCCCTCAGCCCGGATTGCAAGAGGGCACAGGCCAGGCCAAGGGACCTCACCGGTGCACAATTGGGGCTGGGAAGGAACACGGGAGGTTGGCCAGCTGGGGAGGGACCGTGGGAGGGCTCCAGGGCATGTCCAGCCTGTCTCGCTCAGTCCCAATCGGGCGGACCCCAGCAGCAAGCTAACCTATCAGTCAGAGCGTCTGCCCCTCTGGTGTTCAGTGCACACCATAGCGAGCTGTTGAGCAGCCTCAGCATATCATTAGCATATTACACTTTTAATTGGTTGTTCTGCCATTTGGTCTATTTGCATATTATCCTTTTATTATATAGGACATAAGATAAATTCTTAAAACATATCCTAGATCAAAGGATATATGGATTTTTTAAATTCTGAGGAAAATTTTGCCAAACTGCCTTGCAAATAAGTTGTACAGATTTACACTCCTGGAAGTGTCTATTGTCTCAAAATTTTAATATACCCTGGAAACATGTTAACCAATGTTGAATCAGGCATTGTCTTTCTCCAGTATTTGTGATATTGGGTATTAGCCTTGCTTAACTGCTGATTCTATAAAGTAAACACAATAGGATGGGCTTGAGAATGTGTCCTTAAACTATTCATGAGTTTTTATTTCTTTACATTTTTGCTGCAAATCTGTGGAACTATCAGATCTTTGGCCAACTGTATTTCCTGCTACCCAGGGCCTTAAAAATAAACAAAAATAGGGCAGCTGAAAAGCCCTCCAACTGCTTTTCCATTTCCAGGCCTCAGCCTAGTAGTCAGGCTCAACCCCCTTGTGAGGTCTCATCCCCCACTTCTCAAGAGGGGCCTCAAGCTAATCTGGTCTGTCAGTTGTTACAGACCCCCATCCCTATCTTCATTTGCTCAAACCCTCTTTGTCCTTCAAAACCTAGGACAAGATACCAGGACACTCACTCCCATCGAGAAAGGGACCTATCCAGATTCTTAATCTCTGAGGCTCCCCCTTGGAACTTTACCTGGGGGCACTTAGAATTTTCAATCCAGATAAGGAACAAGAACAAGTCTTCCCAGAGATACCTTGTATGGCTTTTTATGGTCACAGCACCTTAATCATTGTAAGGGCACAGTAAGTATTTATAGAATAAATCTTCTTTGAATACTTTCCCCCATTCTTTGCCTTTGTACCAGCATAGCTATCTCTCCCTGGAATGCTCACCTGCCTGTGACTATCCACTAAGTCAATATCTTAACTATTCTCACCAGTAAACATATGAAAAGATGCTCAAAATCATTCCAGATTAAAAAAATGCAAATTAGTAAAACACGGAAATATGATTGTTGTCTTCACTGATGAGATCTTCAAAAATAAAAGTTAGAAATAATAAAAGTTTGATGACATCAGTTCTGGTGGAAGTACAAGAAAATACACATGTTCACACACTGCTGATGAGAGGATAAGAGAGCAACATTTCTGGAGAACGATTTGGCAATCTGCATCTAATTTTTAAAGTTTATTTATTTATGAGAAATGGGAGGGAAGGAAAGAGATATCAATTTGTTGTTCCACTTATGTATGAATTAATTGGTTGATTCTTGCATGTGCCCTGACTGGATCGAACCTACAACCTTGGCGTATCAGGACAAAATTCTTAACCAATTGAGCTACCTAGCTAGGGCTGCATCTAATTTTTAAATGACCATGTCCCTTGACCTAGCAATTTCATTGCAAGTACACCCTTCAGATATGTTCAAAAAGTAATCCCAGACACATTTACACAAAGCAGATCTTTGACAGCATTGTTCATAAAAACAAAAAACTGAAAAAAATGTAAGTGTTTAATAGGGGATGGGCTAAATAAATTATGGAGATCCATTTAAAGGAATATCACACAATCCCTTTTATGCCAAAAAAAATTTTTTTTAAGGATACCTACATGTGATGACAGATGCAGACTTTTTTCCTCCACAGATACACAAGAAACTATTAAAATGACTATTTCTGGGGACAAGAGAAATAGGTGTTTTTTATTTTATACCTTTAGATACTGTTTGAATTTTCTAATGTGTGTGTATTACTTTCGTTTATAGGTAGGTGAGAGGCTTGCAGGCCATTTATTTTCTTCTTTATATTTTTCTGAATTTCCTCTCTCATAACCATTCTAAATTTTTTAATCCTACCTATTTTCAAGGCTCTACATTACCTAGAACTGATCATAGGCATTAGAAAGCATATGCAGATACACTTAGTACTATATTGCATCTCCATTTTTTACCTGCTTTCTCAGATCACAACTGCCCCAGCACAATAGGTTGCATCCACTAAGCCTTTGTAAACCTCACTGGGTTTAGTGGCTGGTTGGTATGTAGTAAGCATTCAGATAAATATCCACTGAATGAACAATAAATGGTGATGCCAATATTAATAAAATGATTCCTTTTCGCCTTTAGTCCTAGGCCAGTGATGGCGAACCTTTTAAGCTCGGTGTATCAGCATCTTGAAAAACCCTAACTTAACTCTGATGCCGTGTCACATATAGAAATGTTTTAATATTTGCAACCATAGTAAAACAAAGATGTATATTTTTGATATTTATTTTATATATTTAAATGCCATTTAACAAAGAAAAATCAACCAAAAAAATGAGTTCGCGTGTCATAGGTTCGCCATCACTGTCCTAGGCCATGGACTTCAAAATAAATTCAGATAATAGAGTGGATACTAGAAAATGTCTGATCACTCAACAAAAGAAAAAATGGCCCAAAGTTGGTAAATTGCTTATCAGGAAAAAGCTTTCTGTATTAAAAACAAAGGTAAAGGTGTAGAGTTTATTTCAAAGTTAGAGAATGTGTCAAGCCCTGATATTAAAGGAAATGGTTTCTATTTTCCATGACTGCCAAGTTGGAGGTGACCTTAGGGATCATATAATCCAGTAGCTTAAAGTTTTGTGAGGTTTTTTATTATTAAAGTAAAGTTGACATACAATATTATATTAGCTTCAGGTGGATGCTTAAAGTTTTTTGGATGCAGAATCTATTTTATTCTCTAAGTGGAAGTCTTCCAGAAAACAACTACACATAAATAACAGCTAAGTTACCTAGTTTGGGAGTTCATCTACAAAGCTCTGTTCCAGTGTGTTTATTTCCCCAGGATCTTAAATCACATGCCTGGTCCTGAATTACTGACTCCATCACTTCCCAGCTGCCTGACTTTAAACTGGTCATTTTAGCCCTGCCGGATGTGGCTCAGTTGGCTGAGTGTCTTCTGGTGCACCCAAAGGTCAGGGCACATGCCTAGGTTTTGGGATCCATCCTCGTTGAGGGTGTGTGCATGTGGGAGGCAACTGGTGGATGTTTCTTGCTCTCTCTACCTTCTTCTCTCTCTACAAATCAATAAAAAAACGAAAAAAAGGAAAAAATATTACAAAACACACAAATAAAAACTGGTCCCTTTATTTCCCTGAACCATTTTTCTTATCTGTAAAACGGGAATAAAGCTAGTAACTAATTTTTAGGGTTGTTAACACATAAAGCACCTAAAACAGTGCTTGGCTCAGTAAATGACAGGTATTTTAACTGTTCTTTGGCTCAGCTTCCTCATCTGTAAAATGGGATTTATAATAGTACCTACCTGAGAGGGTGGTTGCAAGGACTCAATGAGTTAATGTACATAAAAGCACTTAGTAGTATGCTGTGCAGTACAGTAACCACAAGCCACATGTAGCTATAAAGTACTTAAAAGGGCGAGGTAATTTGAGACATGCTATAAATGTAAAATACATACCAGAATCAGAAAACTTAGTACCAAAAAGTAAAATATTTCAGATATATTTTTTTAAATATATTTTATTGATTTTTCTACAGAGAGGAAGGGAGAGAGATAGAGAGTCAGAAACATCAATGAGAGAGAAACATCCATCAGCTGCCTCCTGCACACCTCCCACTGGGGATGTGCCCGCAACCAAGGCACATGCCCTTGACCAGAATCGAACCCGGGACCCCCCAGTCCACAGGCCGACGCTCCATCCACTAAGCCAAACCGGCTAGGGCTTCACTGATATTTTTATGGGATTACATGTTGAAATAATATTTTGATAGAGTGGATTTAAAAAAACATTAAGATTAATTTCCTGTTTCTTTAAAAAAATTTTTAAAGATATTTTTATTATTGCTTTCAGAGAGGAAGGGAGAGGGAGAGATAAAAACATCAATGATGAAAGAGAATCATTGATCTGCTGCCTCCTACACCCCCCACACTGGGGATTGAGCCCGCACCTGGGCATGTGCCCTGACTGGGAATCGAACCGTGACCTCCTGGTTCATAGGTCAACGCTCCACACCAGCCAGGCTCTTTTTAATTTTTAAATGTGGCTGTTAGAAAACGTAAAATTAGACATGTGGCTTGCAATTTTTTTTTTAGATATATATATTTTATTTCAGAGAGGAGGGAGAGGGAGAGAGAGAGACACAGGAATGATGAGAGATCCACAGGCCAGAAGCCTCCTGCACAACCCCCCTGGCAGGTGCCGAGCACAGAATGGAACTGTGACCTCCTGGTTCATAGGCCAACGGCCAACCACTGGGCCACACCGGCCGGGCTGGCCATTTATTTCTATGAGACACCGCCGCCTGAGAACATGCCCGGCATGATAACAGCCAGCAGGGCTTTATGATAAACTTGTAAGCGGTGGGGGGTGCGGAGATGAGAGAGGCCCGGTGGGGGCCGAGCCGTCCCTCTGCGGCGGTGGGGAGAGGGTCACGTTAGCGGCCCTGGTGGCCCCACAGGG